CGGCTCTTTCGTGATTGAGAATTGTGTGATTAAAGATCGACAATGCAAGTGGTGCGTTATTTTTGCATGCCACTGTAAATGGTAACTTAAAATCAGGTAGGATTAATACAAAGATAGAGAAAAGATATTATTTCAAATTATCAAATACTTTCTGTTGATCTTTTTTCTAATAAATCAAATCATAACAAACATAGATATCTCCAAAATTAACCAACTAGCAAACGCAAAATAACTAGCCAAATACAATTCAGAAGCACGATACCATGATAGCAGAACTCGGATGAATCACAAAATACAATCTAGGCACAAATAAATTCAGATCTGAACTTGGAGACGAATATTTTTGTTCGGCCGCTGCGTTTTTGATAAATGCAAGCTGTCAGTGGCCAGAAAATGCTAGAGCGAAAGATAGGTATTTAAAAAATTTTAAGATTTTTCAGACGATCAAGCTTAAGTTGGTGAAAATACTAAAGCTAAAGCCGGCAAATAAACTTACTTATGCGTTTTATCTGGAAGTTAGACAAAAAACTTTTCAATTTCTTGTTGACACGTAAGTTTAGAACTGAATGGAACGATTCACAATAAATAAAAAGTGTAAGTCCTCCTTTCAATCTATATCCAATAGCACACGTACTTCACGTAGCAACACAATCTTCATATTTGCCAGCACAAAATCAATTTTATTCGACTACTCAACCGGAATCATGATCAAAGTTTATCCGATATTCCAGGATTCCCGAGGTCATACCCGCTCACCGGACATCGGTCATGCTGCTGCTGACATACGAGAACAATTATCGACCGGAAATTTTTGCTTTGTAGTGGTAATACGAAAATGAAACGAATCGTTTGCCGACCAATAATGAAATCATCAATTACATGTACAGTACATGTAGCTCGATATCATTCTAGACGTGCTCACCAACAAACCTATGTCCACAATCATATCAGTAGCCGGCACTGACAAACTTGGCACCTGTCCTTTCCCAACCAATTACCTGACATCAAAGACATTCGATCGACTCCACACCAGAATCATCGCCGTAATAATACACTTTGGATTCGTGACTCATTCGCAACACATGTCACAGCGATTCGTGAACCTCTGTATCGAATGTAAGAAAAGACATTACATCAAAGCACACAATTACTGTGGAAACATCGCCAAATTCTAATATTATTGCTCCCAGGCCCGAATTATCGAGACATGGTGTACCAGCTTAAATGATTGTTCATGTTTTGCTGGGAGTGAACAGTTTGTAATAGCATTAATTATCAATTATTTATTTCCATTTAAGTGTTAGCATATTTATTATAGACTTGTAATTTTAGTGAGAATTCATACATATGTCACTCCTTTAGTAGTAAAACAAATAAAACGAAGCTCCTTTATCCCGGTATTATTGATTTTGTTAATTTATGGTCTTTGTATTATTAGTTTGAATTATATCCTAGGATTGATCTAGTGGGGATATTATTATTATAATAATTACATTACTTGTGAATATAAAATTCTTAAAACCTTTGTTACTGTAGTTTTACAGTCTAATATCTTTTTATTTTTTTTGTTATTTATTAGCCTCCCAAGCAAATATTGTCATAGTGAAATTTTATTTATCGAACAAATATATTTGAAGTTGTTTATGTTTGCCATTGATCTTTTTTTTTGTTTATATAATTATTGAATCAATAACAGATTGCTTATCATTTTTATTAGTAATATGTGCATGCAAACATTGGTAAATCAAAACTATACATTTTATTTGTTACCGAAGTAACCTTAAAATTCCGTAATTCCCTAATCTTTACCGAATATGGAAATCCTGACTGAATTGGGGAATAACCAACATACGGGTTGTGCAGCAATATCACCAAATGTCAACAGAATTTGACCACTAATTTTGGCTGGCGATGGTCGGCCAAAAAATTCTTGGCCGCAGCCAAGCTGTAGCGATAGGGCGAAATTTACGATCTTTTTGCATTAATATCTTATTTGTTTAACAATGATACGAAAATTCACGAATAATCGGTTGTTATGTGAGATTGAAAAATAATCGTTTTTATGCATTGATTTCAAGTTGTGCGTGACAAAAAAGCAGGTCAAAAAATTTTTTTTAATTTATGCTGCATGATCTGATTCATACGCATCGGGCGAAATGCTTACAGTCGCATTTTTATGGACAGGTCCAACCTTAATACATGTAATTAATTATTTAATAGAAGCAGTTGTTAATACAGTATATTAATATGGATTTAGAATCGTAATACATAAACCATGATTTTTTATTCGTAACGGTAATTGGTAAGTTAATTCTAATTTAACATTACATTATTGAATGAAACTCTGATTTAATCTTGCGACATCGTATCCATATACTATCTTTTTAGCTGCCTCTAAAAATTCATTTTCTTCATTTTCAAAGTATTCATTGACGGCGAGATCTCTCTTTGCAATAGCAACTCTTTCCAAATATTCACGGCGTTTTCTCGCTAATTTAACAGCGGTTGGCGCATCAGATATAAGATATGAAAGTAAAAACTTGACGAGGAAAACAATGTTCTAAAGACAAATGGTTATTATTAATCACAAAATCACAAGATCACAAAGCAATTTATGAAATATCATTTCAAAAAATTTTTTTACCTCAAATATTAAAATAAACCCCAGACGAATAATAAGTAAGAACGAATCGTCATTTCCGGCATACTTTTTAAATACACTTTGCATATAATTTGAATGAAATGCTAAAATTGAAGCATTAGTGAGCACAGAAAAGATCGAAATCATGTAAATAATATTATCCCACATTCCAATAGATTGTGCAAGTGAGCTGATTGTTCGCCTTTTAAGCTTAAGATACTGTAAAAAAAAAATGGGAAACATAGTTAAAATGCATCATTTATAATTTAACAGTTGGTCTATATATTATTTACCTTATAACCATCCATGTGAATCTCAATGATATTATGAAACCAAGCACATAATGGTGCTAAAGGAAAAGCAGCAGCAAAAAGAGCAATAAAACCAAATTGAATAGCTACAACAAACAAAAAATTATTTGTTAATATACTGTTAGCAAAATATTTACAAAAAACGTACATACCCATTTGCTCATAATCCTCTCTAAGATCATCTTTATCAGTTGGCAACAACTGGTCATCTAGAATCCAAGGATATGATTCATTTGGTTCATCTTTGGAAGATGAAACTTCCACGACTTCTATTTCTTCATTCTGGACTTTTTTGGTTTCTTCATTGAGTTCATTTTGAGAAGATTTTTTCTTTTTCCAATAGTTTATAAACGAATTAAACTTCTTTTTCCAAGAGTTCATAATCGGATCAAATTTCTTTTTAAACAGTCTAGGAAGGTTATCGTAATGGTAAGTATTGCAAATCTTAAAAAATTTTTAAAACTTCACTATTTTTATATCAGATACATACGGTAATACAAGGCCTTCTAACTGACCTACAGTTTGCTTGCCAATAAGAATAACGGCGAGTTGTATAGTAAGCTCTACCATGCAACTATTATATTTGCATCCTTCATAATCAGATATGCGAAGAATTTCACCGGCAAACTATACGTAGACCGAATATCCATGTTCAATTATCGTTATTATTTTTCAGAAAATATATAATTAAATGATTTACCTTTTGTTTGACTATTAAAATGTAAAATAGCGCACCATAAAAGATGACGAAATCGAAAAGGTAAACTTTTAAAATGTGAGAATCTAGTAATAAGAAAACGAATAAGATTAATTATCATTTTTCAAGTGTATAGGCTAAGAACAGATTGATACCTTCAAAGCTTGTCACAGTTCTAGGGTTCTCTAACTCAGTAAGTTTTATAGCTAGTCTCTTGTAAGTCTAGAGTATCAAGTAATAAAATTAGCGAGAGATTAAAACCTTTGAATGAAAAAAATTATTTACCGGACTTAAGATAAGGACTACACCTAAATTGATAATACTCGAGATAAAGCTACCCAAAACACCATATTTTCCAAACCAATTTTTCGAAAGCAATAAAAGGGTTTCAGTTGCCGCAATAACAATAAGTATCTGTAATTAACTTTTCGCATTAGTTTATAACTTGAATAAATAATTTTCATTAGTTTATACGCACCGATACAATAATGAGTATTATCGAAGCGAAACAATATAGAAATCTCTTATGTAGCGGAAATACAAGTTCTTTCTTATTTGTTATTTTAGACCGTATACTGACTTTACAGAATAAAAATGGCTGTCATATAGAAATTATTATTAAGAGATAATTAATGGGATTAAAAATTTTTACCTGTTCCACGAAAATCAGGACGAGATTGTTCCTAATTAAAGAATAATTAATGAAAGAAAACAAAATTAAAGCATATATAATATGATAAAAGTTACATTTTCCTTAAAGCGGGTAACACCCCAATCATGAGCAAGAGCAGCATTATAATGTTTCCATGATTCCAAAAAACAAGTTGCTAGTAGAAAAGATAAAATCGTAAATAATTAGAAATTTATTATTTATTATATTAGATATAGCCAAATACTGACCCCAAATCGACATGAAGAAAGCGAATACAACAGTAAATGCATTATCCCAAAGTTTAGTAACTTTTGGAACACCATTGCTAAAATTATCTGGGCTATTATGGAAAGAAATATTAGAGATAAAGAAAATAAAGAAAATAAATCTTCTAAATTAAATAAACTTACGTCGTTGCGAAATCTATAATACCATAGATAATGGTGATGATTCCAAAAATAGAAGCTACAAATAACCATGAAGTATATAAACCTACAAATTATTGATAATTTAAGAATATATATTTATTAATTTATAACTTTTAAAATATTAATATAATTATAATTACCAAGCCATGCAAAATACATTGCTATTTTTTCACCAAAATATTCTCTGATTTCACTTAGGGGTTGTCTTTTTAAACTTTTAATCCAATTATTGAAAAGTTTTGCTCTTAGATTTTCCTTTTTATTATTTGGATCTCTGAATGTTTGATCTTGTATTTCCCCATCATGCAGAGGATAAAAAGCATCATATACATTTTTTTGCATTAAATTATCAAATCCCCAGGATCTTAGACGTAAGGTTTCTGGTACTATATCCTCTATTACAGGCATAATTCTATTTGCATCGGTTATGAAATAATATGTCTAAATTAATTGCAATATATTAGTTTAAGATACTATAAATGTTAATCATGTCACGATAAAATTTTTAATATACCAATAAATTGCGGGTTGAACTGTTCCAAAAATGTAATGCAATATCGCTGTAATTTTTATATTCATATGCGTCTTTATATTTCTCCAATTGTTCTGCATGAAAGAAAGATAATCTTTTGTCAAGCTTTATTTTATAAACAAAATATGGTGTTATGTTTTGATATAAAAATTTGTAAATGTTGTCAATTAATTTTTTGTTGGTTTTATGTTTTTCTTTGTTGACGTCGTTCTCATTTGGTATTGCTCTTGGCTAAAAGAAAATTTAAAAATAACCTTAATACAACAAAATATTGTACAAGTATCAGTTAAATCAATTACACGTACATCAAGTTCCTTGCTAATACATATTTCTTCCGCAGCTTCACAGAGCTTCTTAAAAGGAGTCCATATTTTGACATATGTAAAATCTCTAGTAATCTCACGCTCAACAAATAAACCTGATAACAAGAGAAGTAACTCGAATTTTCGACGCGCCTGATCTAAAGACTTGAATTTTTCACCTATTTCTATATTCGCATCATCTGTAGTATCTGTAGACCCTTTAGACTCAAATTTGAAGATGAAATCGGGAAATTTATTATCATATAAAATTCGAGCAAGCGCATCGCCAACTTTTGATCTATTATTATTGCTATCATTTTTGTCACCTAAAAGAAAAATATCGAATTTAATAATTATATATATACTGTAATAATATCTTTTTTTATCATACCAAATGTATCGATTGCATCTTCCATTGTTTTTGAGTAATTGTCTCTTCTCCATTTAACCATTTCATTAAATAACATAAGGTTCTCTTCGTCAATCAGGTATAAAATACGTTTTCTGTTGTTATCTAATTGTAATCTAACTTTAAAAACTCTGTGGCATTGCTACAAAAAATATGTTAAAATCTTACATTAAAGAATTAAAATTTAGAAAATCATAAATACTTACTATTATAATCGGTATTTGCGCACATCTCTCCTAAATAATTAGAATAAATGTTTATGCATATCGATATACGTTAGATTTAAAGATCATGAAATGCTTAGACCAATTAAAAGTGTTTGTTGGAAGAATTCATATAGCAATCTTAAACATTACCATCGGGACATAATCGTCTTCGAAATCGAATTGTGACTAATACATGTAATCAGAAAATTACAAATATTAAATAAAAAGAATAAATGAATATGTATATACGTTAGATTTAAAAGACATGAAACTACTTAGACCAATTAAAACGTGCTGTTGTTGGTGAACACTTACAGTTTTCTAAATAATTAGAGATTACAAATAATTAAATTCATTACATTTTCTAAATAATTAGAAATTACAAATAATTAATTCATTACGTACCTCCCAGATTAAGATATTTTCGTCATAATTTTTTTCGCTAACGTCGGACTTTATATGAGTTATTGTATTAGTTAAGAGTGAAAAATAATTCATGAGCTTAATTACTTTAACAACACTAACAAGCTTTTTTTCTTCAGTCACATTTACATGGTCTTCCATTCGTGTAATCTGTTGGACCTCTTTAATCTCAGATGACTATTTTAAATAAATGCGTGAATAAATATTTTATGCTATTATCATATAACAGAGAAACAAAATTTCGTTTTTACGCTGGTATTTAGTGCGGTGGATTTAATTTTATCGTCCATGATAAATTTTCAAGCAATTGAACTGAAAGCAGTTAAAAAAATTCTGAAATGAAGGAAATTACGAGTATTTTTATAGCCATCAGTATGCGTACAAGTAAATGTTATTTATGTGAAATTTCTGCACATGCAGATAACAAGCAGGTAGAATACATGTACTCCCGAAAATAAGCAACCCTCCTCACTTCAGATCGAAAAGTTTGAAAAGTTGAATAAGTAACCACTTATTAAAAATTATTATTTAATATATTAAAACAATTCATTTAATTATTATATTGATTGGCTCAGCTATGTTTATCAATATTTTCTATTCAGTAACTAACATTAGACTAATTTTTTGTTTGTTCTCACGCATATAGTCATCAAGGTACCCTTTAACTGACCATTACCCGGTAATTTTTTTAAGGAATTTCTAAACTACACGAATTTAAGCAACCCTTAATTTTTCGACCCCCAAAATGATGAAGTAGGGTACTTATTATCGGGAGTACATGTACAAATAAGCTATTCGTATACATGTAAAATGTTATTCAATAACTAAAATAAATACATGTACATGCACTGTACAATGTAATTGCATAATGCTATTCAATTACTGTACATGTAGAATGCTAATTGATAACCAAAAACAAATACTGAACACGTAGAATACTATTCAAAACCAAAAACAATTACATGTACTATACATGCATTACATTAATATGTTTACATTAGAATGCTAATGTGTAACAGAAGAGCGTGATATCAAATGTTTCACTTTATTTCAAATTCATTTCGAATAATACGTTTTCACAATGAACTCTCTAAGAGCTGAAGTCATTCAATACTATATGCATTGATAATGATAATGAAATATAGTCAAAACTCTCTTGGTGCAAATCGTCAGAAATCTGAAATATAATATGTGTTTAAAGAAAAAATGCGTTTACAAAGGGTAATTGCCTGATGCTTCAAATACTTGGGACCAAATAGCGTTTATGTAAATATAATATTTAGGGAGACAACATTTAGAGAGTCCTGTTTGTAAACAAGAAATAAAATAAATAAATAATATATAATAAGTAAATTAAGATCGAAAAGCATTAATTAAATAATAGAATTAATAAATATGCATCGAAAACAATTTTATAATGTTAGGCAAGATTGGAATTAATTCTCAAACTTACTAATCATTTATTAGTGTAGACCGTTTAATTTGTTAATAATTATTCAAATTTGATAAAAAATATACATGAATATATTCTGAACCAATTAGACATCCAGACCATTTAAAGAATCTGACATTTTTGGATTTTAAATAACATTAACGTTAACGTTAACGTTAAATATACAAGTATAGTGGCGATCAAAAGTGCATGTACATGTACAGTGGCGATCAAAAATACATGTACATGTAATGCAACGCAAAATTCGAAAATTGTTAAATCACGATATCTTTACGCAGACTCGAGAATATCAAATTATAGGTGATAGATAATATTAAGTACATGTATATGTAAATAATATAATAATTCAATTTGGACTATTAAGCCAATTATGTCACAATCGCAATATTTATTTAATTTTTAGTGTTGCATTATATTTGCTTGTTTTTAATAAGATTTGTATACCCTCAATATAAAATAACTAATTTTTTTATTTTTTAACTATACCTGATATATTGCTATCTAGTATAATACTGTGTGTTTATTACATCACAAATCCTTTCTGACATAGAACAAATTAAATTTGTGTAATAATCCATATCAATTTCCTTCTAAACCAGCTGTATTTTTTTCCACAAGTCTTCCATATCCAAAATTGATCCAAGAAGAAAAGATAATCTATTTCATTTTATAAATATTTGATTGAGTTTAGATTGAATGATTGTGCCAGTCAATCTAAAACAGTAATATTATTATTATCAAACTACTTTTTTGTCAAATTTACTATATGTTTAGCATTATTATCCTGTTGAAAAATCTGTTGATATACTATATTATTTATATTCTTATTAATCTTATAAAAGCTATTAATATTACAAAAGATGAAATAATCACATATTATTACTTGTCTATCACTAAATTTTACCATAAATTTAATATAATAACTTTTTAATAATAACTTTTTAATAACTCATTTTTTTCAAAATACTATTCTCTATCAGATTTAAAAATCTAAAACTTAGATTTATCAGATTAAATTAACTTTGATTAAATTTTTTTCAATCTAGTTTTTGTATTTTTGATAAACTCAAGATGATATTATTGATATTTGAACTTCAGATATGATTTTTTTATTTTATTCTTATTATTAAATCATTTTTTAATATATAACAAATGATATACTCTAAAATTTTGATATTTTCAGTTACTTGAAGATAATTTCAGAAGATAATAATATTAAAATAGTTATAAGATATAATAAGATAGACTATTATTCATTTTAACTAGTTATTTAATAATAATAAATAATCAGATTTATTTATATTATTCAAAATATATTATTTATATCATTTTTTTATTAATATATAAGATAATAAAAGAATTAATTTTATAAATTCTTGCTATTTCTCTTTAAATATATTTATTTTAAAGTGAAATTATTATTTTGACTTTTTTCAAAAGTTATATAATTTTCTTATTAAATGTAATTTTCTAATAAATATTAGAAAAATTCATATAGAAGATTCAAGATATAGTAAATAGTTTTGACTTCAGATTTATATAGAAAATAAGTTATAAATAGATAAGAAATGATAATTAAACTTAATTTTTATTATAATAATAATTATTATTATTATTATAGAATAGAAATAGTATCTTTAAATAAATAAATTAATATTACATAAAAATTAAATAATTATTAATATATTGTTATCATAGTGACATAAAATTCCTTAATTTCTTAATTTTTCCCTAGTTATAAAATATTATATTTTGTTATAATTTTATTTATTTTATAATTATTCTTATTTTCTATATCATTTATTACTATATTTATTATCATATTTCTATTT